TTGTAAACTGTACACTCTTTTTTAGTGAAATAAACTTAAACAAATAGTAGAGCAGCTTTCCTACTATACAAATGATCACTATTATCATTACATTTCTAATTTAATTTTTTTTTATACTGTGAGAATTATCTCTTGTTAGTTATTGAAAGATTAAAACAAATAAACAATAAAATGGAAAAATATTATTTTCTTTAGATGGTCAAATCTATGTTGGAGGATACGGTCAAACAACTCCAGCTCAGGCAGTATTAACTATGAATGAACATTTGGGTCCATATTATTTATTTTGTGAAGTATATGGTAAAACAGATCAAATTGAAATAGTTGATGAAACAACATTACCAGATCAAACATTAGTGAATGATAGTTTTTTAATATCAATGCATAGTAATGTTATTGATTTAGTTAATAAAAAATTGAACGGTAATAATAATCTTACTCAACTTCAACATTTTAATTATTTATATCCATCAAATACTCAACATACATTAACATTTCTGCCAACAACGAACCATAATATTGTTTTAACAGATAATAATCGTATTGTATGTGTTAATAATCTTAAAATAAAATCAAGTTATGCTTTTATAAGTACACCAATAAAAGTAAATGATATTTTAATATGTAAAGTAATGGATTGTGATACAAATATATCATCAATACTTTTATTTGGTTTAACAACATGTAATCCAACATCATTACAAAATCAAACTTTACCTGAAGATACTGTAACACTTATAGAACAATATTCATCATCAAAATGGTTTGTTGATACTGATATAAATGCAAATGTATCAATGTATGATGAACTTGCATTTTGGTTTGATTCAAATGGTCATATATATCTTTCCATTAATAATCGTTCACCCATACAACTTAAAAATCAAATACCATCATCTGATACAACGAATTTAGTTTTATATCCATTTTTTGATTTATATGGACAAATAACTTCACTTTGTTTATACAATTTAAGTTCACAAACAAAATTAAATTTGAATAATCAATCAAATGCTCGAGAATTATGTTTAATTTGTTTTGAAAATTTAGCTGATACACAATTATTACCTTGTCAATGTATATTATGTCATCAGTGTGCTACTGTGATCAAACGACCAAGTTTATTATCAGATTGTCCATTTGATAGAAAACATATAACACAAATTCGACCATTACCATAATATGATTTTGTTATTAATTAGACCAATTTTAAAAAAATAGCAAAACTATTACTGATTGATTATTGAATATGGTTTTTAGTTACTTGCCTTGTTTTTCTTTGTCTTATAAATCTTTTGTTCTGCTGTCAGATTTCATTCATGTTTTTTAAATGAAATAATGGCTGTTGTGATAATTTACAAGACAGTACAAATATTTTTTTTCTCTTTCACAGAACAAAAAAAAGCTTTACAAATATGTTCATTTTTCTTTTCGGTGAAAATATCCGTGTACTAAACATATATGAAAATTTATAATAAACTAGGATGTGTATGAAAGTATTTTTTTTAGTCTACATCTTGAAGAAATATCGTGCAAGGGAACCGTGCTTCAGATGTTTCCTTTCGATTTTCATAATTTTTTTTTACTTATAAATAAAATAACTACAGTGATCTAATAAAAACTGGGGCTTTACTAAGATTTAACTAACTTATCGAATTATTGTTTAGAAGCTTCAGATTTGTAGAAAAACTCATATTTAGAAATTTGAGTCTAAAATTTTGTGCATATAGAGAACTCAACTAGATTACGTTCCATAAAAAACGTAAATTGTCAGATCGAAATGCGAAAATATGAGTTTTCTAAAAGCCTGTTGGCTAAAAAAACATCTCAATAGCTTACCTAAATATAAAAAGGAACCCAGATTTCTATTAGAATACTATGTAATATCTATAGAACAAAAAACTCATTGAAATCAGAAGGGGACAGTTGAAGAGGCTCTTTCGTTAGTCATTAATCAGATGAATAATAAAATTTTTAGCTAATTACATGAATCAATATTGTCCATAGATTTTTAAGATTAAACATAAAATATGATCTTTGTTACGTAATTGAATTAATAGACATGCTAATGCATATTTAATTCATTCGTGACAGGAAGAAATAATCAACGAGATTTTAGTCCTTCATTAATAATAGATGCCATGTGCTTGTGGTCCATGACATTCAATCTTTATTATCTATCATGAATAAAGTTCAAGCTTTATCTTTATACTATCAGAACGGTATTAGAATCTATATTATTATACAAAAAGAAGTTCGAAGAACTATTAATTAATATTATCATATTTCGAACTTCATGAGATTTACTACGATTCTCCTAAGAATGAAGTTCTGTTAATTGTGATGGAGATTATATTCTTGTTTAATGTGAAGGTTACGAAATGAAAATTATGTTTGTTACATTGACAAGTGCAAAACAACACATTCAATTTGTCAAAGTTGGGAATGTTAAAGAGATCGAGACATCCCTGAATTTGACAGTCACTTGTCATCAGGCTTATCTTTCCACCAAAGATCAAGGCATTGTTGAAAGCACATGCATTCGAATAATACAACTTCTGTCAGTAGTTAATAAATTGACTTCTATTATATTAGAACCGACTTATTTCAAGACGAATAGAAAATCATCAGAATTGTAGTAATATCTTGTCATGAACATCACATACGTATATAATAATATATATATAAAGGGTATTGTCGTACGAATATGACAGTATAGAAGCATTCAAAGCATCAAAATAAATAAATAAACACATCAAAAGATAATTTTTGTTCCCTAGCAATTATTATCGTTATCATGAATGCAATAAATATGTCACGTTTAGTGTACTTCAACTCAACTGGGTATATGACACCCGATCTAATCAGCGGCGGATCTAGGAGTTTTTTGATAAGGGGCGATTTGATAGATATGGGGCGATTTTGACCAAAAATCGAGTTTTGAAGTTCATTAGTAGTAGTATGCACTCTATTTTCAAGTCTTTTCTGCTGGGAAAAATCGAAAATTTTTTTTTTCGAATGGGGGCGATCGCACCAAGCGCCCTCTCCCTAAATCCGCCATTGGATCTAATCCGAAGTCTGAGTTTGAGTACGAACTCGCTAGGTGGTCTCGGATGTCGAATATGAAAAAAATTGTCGAGTCAAGCCCAATGATGATTTTATGTGCAAAACTAGACACAGCACCTAAGTACAATAAAAAAAAAATTGATCATTATCTTATATTTTTCACATTGATTTTTTTAAAAATTATGGTTACAAAGGTGAAAAAACTGTTCGAACATGCCTTCATCACATACGATACTTGACAATAATTGATATATTTGAAAAAAAAAGACTTTTTGTTCGATATTTATGATGAATTATATAAGTATCTGTCCTAATACATGAGGAATAAAGTTCATTCGAAAGATAACAAGATAATGTCATGACGATAATAGATTTCATGTATGTATATATGTAAATCCATAATTATTATCTTTAACATAATGCTACTTTTAACTAGAGTGCTATGAGCGTCAAGAGGAAATACGCTTAGTAATACTAAGAAAATTTTAGAGTTTGAAAGACAGAGCTCAAGAAATAAAGATATAGATGCGTTCATTTTCTTATACAATTTTAAAGAGTCTCTGTGTTTATTATGATATGAAGTGTACTACAACTAGAAAAAATTCATCGAGTGGGTGACGAGCACGTTGATCGGGCTCAAATATAAAATTTTTGGACCAGTTTAGAGTCGAGTATGAAACAAAAGTTGCCAAATCAGATATCTAGATACGAAAAGTTATACCCACACAGGAGTCTAGTCGAGTTACAAGCATTTACTGATGTCACGGTTTCTTTTATTCAATCACTATATGAGTCTAGTGAAGTCATATATCGACGAGCAATATCTAATAGCTTAATTAGTTCATTTCGTTGAACATGTTTATCTTTATCAATCCAATATATATCCCTATTTCGATTTGTAATCTAATGTTCCTTCTCATTTGATACTACAATAGAAAGTCTCTTTAATGAACACCGTCGAGACCTTGGTAAAATGTTCATTGTAGAGAAGTATTCTTCTATGCAAGATGGCATAGATTTTACTGTGAAATGAAAGACAGTTTCAGAATATGAGCTTCTTTACTATTGTTGAAGTGACCAGAGACCAGTCTCTGAGTTGTTCATCTGTGTTCATTTAAATATTAATGAATACAAAAACTTCTCGCGAGAAAACAATACTTTGCTTAGTTTCTGAAAGTCCTGTATTGTTGTCTTAATTTTGATATATGTGAATTTGATAAATGTTGCTGTACAATATATCCAGATATATAATCATCAGATTTTATTACGTCAAAAATTCTGAATTTCCGTTTAATATTTTGATTTAAATATTCTTTCTTCTTCAACTGATTCATGTTGTGACATAAGTTTTTCACCTTGTTATCATTGATTTATTAGATTTTTTCTTTAAATGTAAGATCATACTATGATATCATTGCTTTCTCTAGTATATATACATTTATAACAAACAATGGACAGCAGTTTCCGAGCATTAGCCAATAATGATATACAGGATACAGTGATCAAAAGTACTTATGTGCTCATTTAAAGGAAGTTCAAATAGTAATCAGCATTTTAACAACAATATTCAAGTTCAGACTAGGAAGATGTTCACTAATACGAATTTCAGTACCCTAATGTATCTTGTTTTACTTCAAACACATATCATCATAGATTAAATCAATCTTACTCAATCTGTAATCAAGATAATAAAATAGCCTCAATTGATATTGATGTTAAACAACTTATATCAATAACGGATTGTTTACAAGAATCATTCATTGATACCATTCCACTTTTGTCATTCAATATCAATGTCTAACACATCAGATAAATAACTTCAACATTTTTTTTTTAATAAAAAATGATGGAAAATTTATTTTATTTTATTTCTTTTGTCTTGATCTTGTAAACAGTTATACTTAATAACAAAACAAGTAACAATATAAACTAAATTATGCAAGTCCTTTTTGTTCTCGCCATTGACTTATTGAATCTTTAATTAATGATTCTAATAGATCTGGTTTGTTAAAGATAAAATATTTATCCGTAGAATCAATAAATCGATGTTGAATACGATTACGAAATAGTTGCATACGTAGATATTCTTGTGATTCATCCCATATCTGGAATATATAAAATAAAAAATAAAAAATACAATAAAAAATTTTAAGACTAATACTTTATTTAAATCTTTTGACAGGCTTTTATCATACTGACGACGATTAACAATTGTTACAGATACATTCGAAGGAAAAGCTTTCATTCGCCATGCTAATCTATAAAAATATTGTTTTTTTTTTTTTCGTATTGATTTTAAGTTTAGTTAAACTGTTATCTTTTACTTCATTTGTGAAAATGTTTCATTCATATAAAAATGTTCTCGAATAGCTGAACTAATATGAGCTGCATTGCAAAGTAAATGTTTCTGAAATAAAAATTAAATGAAAAAACAATAAGTTTTTTTTTTAATATTCAAATTTAATCACTTGACGATGATTAATATTTAGGTTGTTATCATCTACATTATCAGATATTTTTGTAACCAATGGGGTATTAATCATATGTGTTAAAACAAGAATTCGATTGACACCAATGGCTGCTGATAGTTGCATAGCATGAAGGCGAGGAATTATTTTATTATACCTAACATAAAAATCTATTTTAGAATGAAAACAAATCAATAAAAAGATATATACCAATAATCTTTCCATTGTTCATTATCTAATAAAGTTTCAACTAATGGATCAACTAAAAATAAATGACTAACATCACTAAAAATCAAAAGAAAAACAACATTTTATATTTTTCTTACATTCAAGAATGCAAAAATTTATCTAATAAAATGAACTGTTATGAATACATTTCATTATTTTTAATGTTAATTGATTAAGAACATGAATTTTATTTATGCAACAATATCAATGCTTGGACTAGATCAAAAGTGTGGTGATCAAACAACTCGTCATAAATGTGTGAATGTGTGTGTAAGGACTTTTTGTGTGCTCTCATCCACACTGGATCTGCGACAACTACCAATTTTATAAGTCTATTCTTTTTCGAGAACTGAGATCTTTTTAAATCTGCATTAATTGAAACTCATGAGTTTAGTTGAGCTGCCAGAGATGAGCTCAGTTCGTAGTTTTTTTTTAGTACCGAACTGATCCTATCTCTGTAGACTGCGATGAAATCTTACAGCTAAAAGTGTCTTGACATAATTTTAGTCACATTTAATCTAGACTAGTCTGGACTAAAAACTAATATATAGCAATAAATTATATTAGTTTCATAGGTTCCATCATGCTTCTCAAAAATAATGATTCGAACTACGAGCCGGTTGTTTTTAAAATGACATGCTTGAGTAGATGAAGATAATATAATTTATTTCTGCCTATAGAATTCTTTAAATGGCCCGCACAGTCCTGAACAGATTAGTTTCTTTCAAAAGAACTGCTGGAGTCGTTCTCAACATCGAAACAAATATGAAACCGTGGCAGATCAACTCCACACATACATCCTTACCCAGTCACTTTCGATGTTGCTTCGGGATACTTTATGGTTAATATGTCATGTGACGAATCGTCTGCAATGGTCTGTCCTAGCACTTAAAATTGATTAGACTTGACTGATGTACAATTATCAATTTTGAAAATAATGGTGGCCCAAAAGTAAAGAGATTCGGAATGTTTTTGATTGTTTCTTTCTACATAATCCGTTAGATCTCATATTTGCACCATATGTATTAAGTGATACTAGTAATGAATGTAGCATATGATCAGTCTCTTGATGCAGTCATTTATTCAAAAGTTTACAACTTACTACTCGTCTGTAATTGTATGATAAATCCGATGTTTCTCGAGTTCTATTCAATTTTCATAGTTTTCTCTGCTGATCACGGTCTATAAAATGAATTCCATTTCATAAACGGTGACCTCTTTTCCACTAAATTAGTATAAAATGTTATTAAATTGAATTCATGCAATAGATCGAGTTAAAGAAACAAAACTAAGGAAACCGAATGAAGGTTGCAGAATATCGAATTTCTCATGGAATTATAGACAAGCAGTAAGATAGATTTCCACGATTTTCGGTAAACTTTTGCAGCCAAAAACTAATGATATGCTATATTTTTCATTAGAAAAACCAAGTATGTGTAGTATAAATATGAGACCGAACTGACCGTATACAAAGGAAAAGTTGAAAAAATTCTGTTTCCTTACTTTTGGACCGCTCTGTATTTACATAAATTAATAATTTGATTCTATTTTTGTCAAAACCAATTCCAATCAATGCCAAGCCCAAAAATAGGATCGGAATTGGTGCATCTTTTATCAAACTCATTCCATTGTTAGAAAGTGTTTGAATGAACACATGTGATTTATATTTATAATAGTTTTCTACTTTGTAATTCATTCTACCCCACATACATCTTGATAAATGACAATTATTATCTTTATTTTATTGCAGAATACGAATTGCAAGAGAACATGGATGTTTTGATTTCATTAAATTTGAATAGTCGACTTACAATTCATACATTTGAGCATAAAAGCGAGTTACAATAGCACCAAGATCAGCACCAACTAAAATAAATGGTTTTGGTTGTTGACTTGTTGCAGTTACAAGACGATTCAGATCTTCAGACATTCTTAAAAAAATAATGATTAAATATTCATCATTGAAATTTTCATATAAAAAATCAAACATTACTTTTCTACAGTGAAATCCATACCACGATGTTTTGTTGGTTTATTTTCTTTTTCATTTGATTCTATATTGAAGAGTGCAATTATTAATTTGCTTCTATAGATTTTAATTGAAATATTACTTTGTTTAAGTGTCAAACTTAATGGCGGATCACTCATTCCTAATCCAGCTCGATCATAGATACAAACCTACACAGAATTTATTACAACGAAGGAAAAAAGTTATGACACATTTACTGTTGTTGTCTTCTTAAGACTTTCTTGAAGAGGAAGCCAAATATCCGAATTCATACCAGTCGGAGCATCAAAAATAACTATGAAAAACAAAATTTTTTCGTATATTTTTTTTAAACGTACCTTCAAACATACACACCTGTTGGTATACCGTGTCCTCGACAACGTAAAAACAATTTTTGCCCATAGCCAATATCATATGGTAAACCTGAAATAATCAATTATAAAAAGACATATTGAACATTGATTATCTACCGTGTTGTCCAAGTAAAGGTGCTTCACGTTTTAATGATGCATAATTAATCAATGGTGGTACAATAATAATAAATAATAATAATTGAATCAATTTCCATAATGTACGAATGCATGTTTTCAATAAATTTTTTAATGCAATAGAAACCATTGATAAATCTATATGAATAAAAACAGATTTATTTATTTTAATATGCAGATTTTCTTTCCCTTGTTTGCTCAATAATTTATTTAAAGATACTAATAGTGACTACGACAAAAAAATAGTTCCATGCGTAACTTTATTTAATTTTAATATAAAGAAAAATAAAATGTATTTTGATTTTTCTGATTGTGATACTTGAAATTTTCTTGATTTTAGTATCACGTATCGATACATAATTAAAATTTAATTTATTTTAACAATTTAATGTTAGCACATTGTATTCGTCGACATATTGTTAGTTGTCTTTTTTTAAATTAGTCTAAATATTCATCATTATATATATCTAAAGAGAAGACAACCAACTTGAGATAGAAGAATTGAACTGATGGTTGTCCTTCATTCAATCAGACTTTTTCTCATAAGATAAACAAAAAAGTGAGGAAACAATGTATGTATGTATATATATATGTCTGAGATTATCTTATAAATAACAGACAAAAACAAAAAAAGACAAAGTTATACGTCATAAAATGAGAAGGTAGGACAATATCATACAAGCTAAGCGTTTGTATTTATATATACATCAAATGCGTCACAGTAAGGACAAATACGAAATGAAAACAATAAAATCAATGGTGTACACATATGTACACTCTTCAATCAAACAACAACAACAGCAAAAAGATAAAGCTCGAAAGAAATAAAAGAAAAAAGAAAAACACAAAATTTTAGGTTTATTCTTCATCCTCAGATTCAGTAGTGTTATCATCACAATTATCATCGTCATCATGTCGTTGTTCGAGATGATTCGTATTAACTGATGTTAATGTTTGATAAGTCTAGAGAAAGAAAAAACAAAATACTATTTGACTAAATACTCTGAAATTCTTTCAATTTTTCTACCTGATGTTGCATATGTTGCTGTTGTTGTTGTTGTAAAACTTGAAATTGTTGCATTTGAACCTTAAAATAGATGATTATTTACATCAATGATAATATCAAATGAAATAAACACATATATACATGAGAGAAAAACGCCGAGATTCAATACTTACTTGTACATGATTGATTAGAAAAATAATATAAGGAAATTTGATTTTTTTTCTTTTTGTTTATCATGATTTTTTTCTATCTTTTTTTGGAATATTATGTACACACAAAACAAGAACAACAAACAAAAAATAATTGACAACAAAATCGTTTTGAAATAAATTAAAAAAAAAAAAAGAAAAGAATAAAAACCGGAAGAAAAAAAACAAATGCTGATGTTGCTGTATTCATTAATTATCGTTTCACAGTTTTATCTAGAAATTGATCTTATGTACATATACACAAGGTTTTTATCAGGTGTACAAGAGAAAAACAAACCAAAATGAACGAGATTCATCATTTACACAAGTGAATGGTAACAACAAACAAAAGGTCGTGTGTTCTTTTGTATACTCAGATTGGAATAGAAATAAAAATGTATATATGTGTTTTTTTATGGGCATACTACTTCTACTGTTCACTAATATCCTACATTGTTATGTGGCATTGATAATGAATAACCATTATAATGAGGAAAGAGTGATGATGTTAAGCCATTATCTTGAAAATTATTCATTTGACCGAAAGTCTAAAAAAAATACAAAAATACAAAAACAAAATCAATCGATTATTTTTTGTTACTATTTACTTGGGGTTGAAAAGATTGCATGGGATTAAATGATGGTAATTGGTATGACGGAGAAGAATACTGTTGTTGTTGTTGTTGTTGCTGTTGCTGCTAAATATAAGATGAAATTTAAATTGAAAAAAATATATATATAATAGAAATCTACATCTTGATGTATTCTGACTTGTTGTTCCGAGTGATGTTGTTGTGTTATTGTCTGAGGTGATGAATTTGATTTTGAAGCTTTTTTATTTGCTAATTTGAATTCATTCATTTCCTAATAACCAAAAAAAAACAATTACTAAATGACATAAGCAATCAATCAATCTTAACTAACTTTTTCATATCTTTCTTTATCTCTTTGTGCTGCTTCTTCGTAAATTTGTTTTCCATCAGGTGCTGTATGATTCCATCGATCACCTAATTCTTTGGCTATTTCACCAACAGATAAACTAGGATTTAATGCTTTTAATTTTGGTCGTTCTTCTTTACAATAATGAAAAAATGCTGATCTAAACAAGAAAAAAATCAATTAATTATATCTAGTGTTTGGCAATAACTTCTTTTTTTTTTGTCTTTACAATGGTCGTTTTGGTGCAAGTGGATCTTTTTTCTTTTTTTTCGTACGCTTTTCACCAGGTTGATAAGCAGCCATTTCACGTTCAAATCGTTGTTTGTCAACTTCAGCTTGTGCAGCAAATTTTGCTTTATCACTTTCTGTCATTGTCTAAAATGTAAATGACAGAATCAAACAATTGAATAAAGAACATAAACTATTCGAAAAAAAATTATTTGCTTAATCTGATATTATTTTTTGTCTGTCCTTCATGAAAAGAGCACCAAAATAGTCAATAATTTGAATTTATTCTGATACATCAAATAGAAATATTAGTTTATAAGATCAGGGATATAACGAGAAGATTTAAATGTTCTTGTTTTTTTTTTATCAACGAAAAACTATTCAGAAGAGATAATTGGACAAAAAATATTATATTAATAAATTCATTTTTATACATACTGACTAAAAGGTTACGTATAATAATTTTAAATTGTTTCTTACCTTCCATTTTTCAGCACACTTTTTTGAAAATTCACTAAAATTAGCATTTTCATTTGGATATGCTTTTCGCTGTTCATCGCGACATTTTTGGACAAAAAATGTATATGCACTCATTCGACCTTTTGGTTTATGCATTTCTTTTGGTTGATGATGTTGATCACGATTTTGTGTTTGTGATGATGGAATCATATGATGAATTTGTTGTGGTAGTACTTGTTGCTGTAACAATTGTGATTGATGTTGTTGTGGATGATAGCTGTAAATAAAAGATTTTTGAAAAATACACATAAATTGTTCTTTTTCTACTTACTACATCGGTATTTGCGGTGTTTGTTGTTGTTGTTGTGATGGTGGTACTGTCATTGATTGATAGTATAATGCAGAAGTCATTGTTATAGATATAAATAACACTGAATTACATGGAGATTTAATTGATCTATAATGGAAGAACTTTTTTTTAATATTTATCAACACTATCATTCTTTTTCTCAATGGCAATATGTACATGAAAAAGAAGTTTTTCGGAAAACGGAATAAATTCTTATCGTCTTCTTTTTCGTGTATACATGTGGTAATGATGATGATGAGACATACGTTACACATGTGTATTAAAGAAGAAAAAAAATACACTAGACAACACGCGCAGACCCATACGTACGTATTTGAAAAAAAAAGCATAAGTTTGATAGAAAAAGAAAAAAACCGGCATCTTGAGTGATGGCATAGTAATGTATGTAAACGAAAGGTCTCCTTCTTTCTTTCTTTTTTCCTGCCTGTCTTTTTCTAATCGTTCTTCTTTCTCTCTGCGTTAGCTTCGACTACATCAATGTATATAATTATTTCTTGTTTCGTTCGTAAAAGCAAAAGAGAAAAGAGGGAGAAAAGAGAGATTGTTCTGTTCCTAGCAATCGGAGAATATGCCCTCTTTTTCTTTCTTTTTTTCTTCTTTTTTTTGGCTCGTTCGAGAACAGAACAGAAAAAGAAAAAAACTCAATTAATCGAGGGCATATATAAGTTTGAAAAGTTTGCCGGACATGTTCGCCAAGGGTCAAGTAAAGAAAAAGAGAGAGAACGAAGAATAAATAAATGTGAATGACCATGATGATTTATCGCCTATTGATTTCGGGTCAACTATGAAAATAATTTTTTTTTTAAATATTCTTTTCGAATGAAAAAGAAAAGAAATTTAACAACGAATGACAATAATAATGATGAACAACGACAATCGAGTGTCAACTATAATTCTCTTTTTTTTTTCAACATTTTTAACATTCTAATAAAATGAATAAATGTCATTAATAACTAGAAAGGTTATGTGAAATGTAAACAATGGAAAATCAGAAGCAGAGGCAAACGAGTGTATATTGATATATCATATATATGTATTTTTTTTTTGTTGGCCCAACTGATAATGACAGCTACTTGACAAATCATTATCGAGTCTTTCATCGTACGTGTGTTCGCTCATTCAAAATCAATTAGTAAAAGACAATTTATATGCGAACCTCATACATTCAAGTATTCGACACGAGCAATTATGCATCGACAAAAGAATGTCAAGTGATTCGATGAACAGATAGATAAAATAAAAAGAACAAGACACAACACAATTCTCAATCTTGATAACAGAGAAAAATATACAGGTTTTTACTCGATCAATATTTGAAAATCTTATTGTTCAACAAATAATATGAAAAAATTTCGAAAATTAAAAACAAAAAGTTCATTATTTTCTTTTTGTTTTCTATTATATCATTGATCAAATACCATCACCAATCAAATACAAAACAGAATGCATAACGATGATAGTAATTATATTTTTTTATTGACTGATTTCATTTTTCTTCTTTTTAAAAATGAAAATAAATAATACACATGATAAAATCAAAGGACTTTTTTTTTCTCAACAAGAAAATAGCACTTGTTGATAATAACAGCAATATATTCTATGAATTGAAAACATTATTTGTAATTTTTAATACATTTTTTTTGGTAATAATGAAAAATCAATTTCATAATTGTAAAAGAGAAAACGAATAGGCACAATCGATATATTTAAATTATTTATGTATTAATGATGACGCGAAGATTGTCAATGATCGTTATCAAGACAATATGATTCATGAGCTGATATTACTCATGTTGATCGAGTAAAAAAAAACAGCCTTTTCTTGTTGAATAAAATTCCTATTTAATTATTTATTTTTCTGAGTTATGATTTGTCTGCTCATCGGAAAGATAAATAATTGAAAGAAACGATTTATATTATCAAAAAGTCATTTCACCTGA